GGCCCTGTCTCTGGGAAAGTAAACCATTCTCTTCTCCTTCTCGCGGCTCCTTATATCATCTCAAGAATATTTATGACAGATTTTGGAGAACCACGAATATAACGGAACGCGACGTTCTCAGATGATTTGAGTGGGTTGGGTTTTTGTTGTTGTGGTTGTTTTTTGGTACTAGGGATCGAACTCGGGACCTTGCGCTTGCGAGGCAGGCGGCAGAACCACTGAGCTAAATCCCCTGTCCAAGTGGGTTTTTTTAAATCCCTCCTGCCTTTCCCACGAACCTTCGCCTCGGCGACACGCCCAGGCCTTTTTATTTATTTTTTTTATTTTGAGATAGGATCTTGCCAAATCTCTACATTGCCCAAGGTTGGCTGGAATTTGTGATCCTCCTGTCTCGGTCTCCCCAAATGCTGGGATTACAGGCATGCACTATCACGCCTGGCTTCGACAAGATTTTCAGAGTCAAATTTATTGGGGTCCAATTTACAGTTAACTCAAAATGAGTTAGTCTTTTCGCTCACACGTTTACGAGTTTGGACGCTTTTGCCAATGCAGAATACCTCACCACCTGGCCTCCCCAAAATCGTGGGCTTCTTTGTAGTTGCCCCTCCCCCTCCGCCAACTCTAATCTGTTTTCAGTCCCTCTACACCTGCCTTTCCGGGACTTCACCACGCTTGTCATCGAGTATTCTGTGGTGTGAGGGTGCTGTAGTTGAATGTACCGGTCTCCTTTTCTAAGGGTCTAAAGTTCACTTCTAATTTTCGTTCGTATGAATTACCTTGGCATGAAATGCTAACGTCATGTTTTCTGATAATGTATCCCTAGAGGTGGAATTGCTGGGTCGGAGACTGAACTTCCGTGCCCTGGATACTTGTTACATTCCGAAACTGGGTCTGAATCCTGCGATGAAACAGCAACGCTCGCTCCTCAGTTCTTCTAGTCTTTGAGGAAAGATTTCAGGCAGCCGTAGGCAGCCGTACAGAGCATAGGCAGAGTTTATTGGAAAACGGTTAGATTTTCAGAGCGCGCAAGAATATATCTTCCAGCGCCAAGACGGCAGTTGCACCAAATTGAGGCTCGGCTGGGGCTACCTTTATGTGATTAAATGGGTCTTCAAGGAATATCGTTTCCTTCCTCTGATGTCATTATTCTTTTGCAAGGAAAATGGGCGGCCTTGACCTACTTCAAAGAGAAGCTTCCTGCTTCCTCTCAAGGAGCCATGCTTCCATCTAGTTTGGAGACCTTGAGGTTTTCCCAAACCCTCACCCAGGTCTTTGGTAAGGGCCCTGAACTTTATCAGACTGCTCAGAGGTTGCATACTGTTGGGCTAAGGTTTGAAACCATAAGCATGTCGGATTTTATCTATAGTTAATGATTTAGAAAATGAAGGAAAGTGTGTGTGGGGGGGTGTCATGTCCCCTTTGCTTTTCATGTAGCTCCCAAACGCCTGTCTTGCTTGTTACTGTCTGATTTTCTGCCTAACCCTAGTTATTATGTTGCTGCTCAAAAACAGTGTATCAGTTTACCCTCTCTTGGAAGTACATGGGAAGATCTGTTTTTCTCTATTCCTGACCAACTTTGTCATTTTTAAAAAAAATATTTGTTGGCTCAAGGTGTAGCTTAGTGGTAGGATCTTATCGAGCATGCCAGAGGCCTTAGCTTCTATCCCTAACACTGCAAAAACATATTTTAAAAAACCCCAAATTAAAAAACCCATTATGTTATTGAATAGGTAAAAAACATGACTTAGTTTTCATTTCATTTTACCTCCAGTGAGGCTAAACTATGTTTTTATTTACTATGCTTATGCAGTCCTTATTTTGTGAATTATCTTCTCATATTATTGGGCCTTTTTTCTTGAGTATTTTTTCTTACTGATATGCAGAAATTAAATGATGTAGTAACTCTCTTAATCCATTCTTATAGGTGTTGAAAGTTTCTGTTTCCATTTCATCATTTTCTAATTTTTCCTTTGTTACTGTTGTTTTCAGTGATTTTTTTAACAAAGAAAAGTTTTTAGTATTTATGCAAATTTGTCAGGAGTTTACATTGTCATTTTTGTTTTTGTGTGCCGAAAATGTTCTTACTAGCAATCAAATACAGCATCACTTGTATTTCCTTTAGGTTATTCTGGGGTTTCAATTTTTCTAAACCACCTGGAAATTAGTTTGGTACATATAGCGTGTGTTACGTATTTATACATGTCTAAGCCAGTTGTTCCAAAACTATCTATTTAATAATCTATTATTTCATCTTTGATTTGATACTCCATTTTTATATTCAAAACTCATATCCTGGTTATGTGTGTGTGTGTGATATATACGTGTGTGAGTATTATATATGTAATAGTGTTCCAAAGCAGTACAACAGTTTTGGAATTTTTATGTTCCAAAGAGCTATCTCTTCTGGTAACAATATCACAGTATATATATATATATTTGGACCTGTGCTTGCCAGGCAGGTGGCAGAACCACTGAGCTAAATCCCCAGCAATATCACAGTATTTTAATGCTTATAAATTTATTATTTGATTTAGAAATCTGACTGTACTTAGCAGTATGATTGTTAATCTAAGGCTATACTTTTTTGTGTAAAATTTAAAAATATTTTGTAGCCACTCTACTATTCTGAAATGAAATTCATATATATTCAAATTATACACAGTATAAGCTAGGAAATTATTTTTAATAATATAGTATCTATTTGATATATTATATAGTATCTATTTGAACATGTACAAGCCCATGCACTATTACATCTGATGATAAAATGAATCAGTTGCTTGCATCTGTCTATCTATATGGGTTTGGATTTAAGATGATAGAATATTCAACTGAAAATTCTTCATGCTTGTTTTATAAAAAGTAAATGTTTTGAAACAAGAGCTTAAAGAAATATATCTATATTTTTATATATCTCTATCCAATCATCATGAATGTAAAGTTGCAAATACAGGCTTATTGAAGTTCCAGGAGTGACACTGCTATTGGAGACATGATTTTCTAAAGTGGTGAATAACTTCATGAACTTCAGAACAAACTAAAGTGCCATCTCTCACTGATTTGCAGTATGACTACACTCCCGGCAAATTCAGTTATACTAAACCCATACTGTTATGGCTCATATCTAGATCTCCTCCCAAAGGCTCATGGCATCATAGGTGAGGCTTTTGAAAGTTTGATAGGATTATGGAGGCTTATAGTTGACTTGGTTTTAGGAGATGGGGTGCAGTTGGGAGAGGCAGTCACTGGGGGGCTGACCTGGAAGGGTTTGTCTCCCTTCCTGGCTCTTCCCTTGACTCTGTTGCTTCTCAAGCCGCCATTACCTGAGCAGTTTTTCTTCCACCAGGCCACTCCACCAGGCCCCTCTGTCCTGCCTGGGAGCCAGCGGACCATGGACTATACCTATGAGCCAAAATAAACCTCCCCTTCTTCAAGTTATGGGTGGCAGGTATTGGGTTCCAGCAATGAGGAAATTAACTGAGACACATGCAAACAATACATAACACATGTAAGATGTGATTTAGTTCTACATTTAGATAATTATGACTTTGTGCTTATGTGAAAAGACCTATAAAATTTGTAGAAGATGACTTTTAGTTGTGTAGGGCTGTCTTACCTATTCAAGATGTCAGGTATCCATGGCCCCTGCTTAATAAGTACAGACCACATCCCTTCATCTAGTGAAACTACTGACAACACACTGGAAATTCCCCCAAATACCCACTAGAGAACAGTGCTATCCCCAGTAAAGACCACCACTCTCACAGATAACTAAAAAAAACCCCCAGAATTGTTTATAATTATTTTCAGAGAAAATAAAAGTAAATAAATAAGAGCAATGATAGTAATGTATTTGATATTAAGTTTAAGAATTTGTACATATTGAGTAATTTGCTCATAGAAACTTGTTATATGTGACAAATTACAGAGTTATGATTCCAATTTTAAAGGTGTACTTCATTGAAGAGATTTAATCGTTACAAACTTGAACAGTATTCTATTTTAAAAATAATTTTGTAAACAAAGAAAACTCAAAATTCCAAAGTAAACACCTTCATTTTATCAGATTTATAAAACCCACCTATCTTTTTGTTAGAGATAAATAGTGTTTGTGTATAAAATGTTTGGGAGGATTGGATTAAATAAATTATAAAAGTCTTCTTAGATTTATAGAATATTAATATTTTAATTTAAAATCAAAACTTAAGAATTGCTAGACTTTTGTTATTTCAATAAATTGAATATTAAGTTGAAACTCAAGTAGGCACAAATAACTTTAAATGTTTTTT